TCACCCATCTCTATTCTCGACTTTTATCTCACCAAGTCTTTCATCACCTCATTTCCCAATGACCCGTCTTTCGTACATGACTGTCTATGTCGATTGCTTCATACAACATGACGGTCTATGCAAAGGGAGGAGGTAGGATAGAGGTAGAGAGAGGCAGAGAGAGAAGAAAGAGAGCGAGAGAAGAGAAGAGAGAGAGAAGAGTAATGAGAGAGAGACTCGTCCTTTGCGAGGACTTACAAGAGAGAGCAAGACTAGCGGAATAGCGCAGGGATTTTCAAACAATTACTGTCAAAATAAAAGTGAGCTACTAGCCTCCCATAGCAACAACCGTCGCCTGCGAACATATATAAAGGTCCGTCAGGAAAAGTACGAAAATATAGGTCGTTCTTATTTTGTCTCTTACGCTCTCAATGTCTTAGACGACACTACTTTAGCGCGTCTAGGGATCATCTCACACAAACAGCACCTCGCACACACTCTTCTCTCCCTCCCAACACACACAACCACACACCTTGATCTGCGACAATTGTCTAGCGCGAGTGCTCGCACACACACGGCACACCAGAGATCAAGTTTACACGAGAAACAGGCGACCATAGAGGGGAAGCAAGGAGCGCGCGGTACCCGTGGATGACTGAGGCCGGGTGACCGAGGCATTAACGCGCTCAACACGTTCTGCAAATTCTTTTTTTTCTTTTTTTTTTCATTATACTCTTTTTTTTTCTTTTTTTTTTTTCCTCTTCTTTTTTTTACTGAGTAGGGACGTGGAGAGATGTCGTGTCTTTCGGGTGTAAAGACGTATAAGCAGTGAACAGTACTAACCACACAACAAGCGCACCCATCACGCCTCTGAGCGAGCGGCAAGGAGGAGCGGTCCGTGATACGTGACGGCCAAAGAGGCACATAGAGACCGCCCAAAATTTCATCGACGACACACACTAACGGACGGACGCAACAATAGCACGAGACGAGTCGCACGACAGGAGAGCATCGACATCTATGAGAACTTTCCTCACACACACACGACACACAACACAACGAGCAGCACAACCACACGCGCACACTACACTACGATGAGGCCTTACACGCCTACTCGTCCGTTGGTCTGCCCACTAGCCTACTGCACACCGATGGCTGGATCCAAGAGACACCTTGGACAGGAAGAAAAGGCACGTCGACCCCACGACTAGTGGTTCGGAAAGGTCTAGCGCGGGAAGCCAGTCTAAAAAGTTCGGAGCCCCAAACTGCCCAGCGGCGAGACTGCTGCGTCCTTGGCGGTCGGGGGGCGGGCGCGCCGGCACTTCTCAGGCCGAGGTGTGTGACAGGTCGACGCGCTCTCTCGTTCGGCACACACTCCGTCACTCGTCGCGACCGCTTGGCGGCCTGCCCTGCTGCCTCTGCGAAGCCGCCGTCAGACGACACGCGCCCTCCATCTTCCGTCACTACACACTCCCGCCGCACGCGTGAAGTCTCCTCCGGACGATAAAAGAAAAAGGGAATTTGCGGATCTAAGTCTGAACATACTGTCACTACTGGTTGCTCTCTTCATCGGTAGGCACTGCTCACGGTTGTCACCATTATATTCTCTATTTGTCCGCCCACAACCACTCACACTGAAAATAAAATCTATGAGTCTTAATATTACGAAAAGTGGAGATCGTCGGGGGTGTATCAGAATGAAAAGGCTTCAATACCAAAATATACAAAATTTTAGCCAATTACGGATCCGGTGGGCATTTCTAACTCAAATACCCAAATACCTGTACTTTCTACTTCTTACATGTTGAACACAAATACCTGTACTTTCTACTTCTTACATGTTGAACACAAATACCTGTACTTTCTACTTCTTACATGTTGAACTCAAATACCTGTACTTTCTACTTCTTACATGTTGAACACAAATACCTGTACTTTCTACTTCTTACATGTTGAACACAAATACCTGTACTTTCTACTTCTTACATGTTGAACTCAAATACCTGTACTTTCTACTTCTTACATGTTGAACACAAATACCTGTACTTTCTACTTCTCTCATTTTCCAAACAGGCTGGTTCCTTTAGTCTGAATGTGTGTTTGGTGGCGTGATCATTATTATTTAGAGTCATTGCGTGCCTATTGATTTGAACACAATCCGTGTATCCATAATTTCCTGGTCTTCTCTAAAGAAGAGGGACCAATGAAAACGTTGTCATGTTGCCGTTGTTCAGCATGGAAACATTCATTAGCTAACAATGACATTATTGTTCTATTAATATAAAGGGAGGTCAGGTACTCTTTAAAACAGCTGCTAGTTATGGGTACTTTTTACTGAAGTACATTTCAAAGCCCTCTTTACTTT